CTGGACTGGATGAGCAATGGTCACTTCTAAGGGAACTTCCTATGTTTCTTTATACCTAAGCAATAGTTTTGATACATACAATGGGAAAACGCAAGAAAATTCTTTGGGTAGCGCTTATTCTGCCTATGGTGAATCCTGGGGAAAGTGGGTTTGCCTCTCTCTCAATCATCTTGCCAATTACAGCCAATTCCTGGGTCTTTTAGAAATCCGATGCAAGTAAATGACTCCACTGCCTCCCACCCACACATAACATTTGCAAATGGCTCTGATTAGTGTTCCTCTTGGTTCTAGTAAAAATAAAATCAAAGTAGACTCCAGAACAGCAAAGGCTGCACAGCCTGACCCTAAAGTTCCCTCAGGGAAGCCTTTTGCAACTCACTCTCCACATCTGCAAGCTCCAATGCAGCCGAAGTCATCATTAATGCAAGAGATGTTCAGAACCTGAGTCTTTCTGGCATGCACAGAGAGAAATAATTGGCCAGTGAAAAGGTAGATTAGCAGTGTAATGAGTCATTAGCAAAAGTAACTTTCCTAAAGCTCCCCTTGGGAACACGATGCATCTCTGGTCGCTGACACCATAGAAATGATACAAGGCCTGGCTGTTGCCCACGTGTGTGGCCCATCTGGATCCTGAGTTCTTCAGAGGGCCAGTGCTTGGCACAGCTAGCACAACAACATCTGAACATAAGGAAGTTCCTCTAGATCCGCTTCACAGAATTTCAGTGAGGAAATGAGCAAAGCATTTAATAAAATGGCAGCTATTAGGAGACAACCAAGAAGAGTCCCCCATACCTTAAGGCAGACTTTCCCTAGGCTGGTGCACTCCAACATTTCAGACTACACCTCCAAAATTCCCTGGCTATTATCCATGTTGGCTGGAACTGATGGAAGTTCCAAATATCAGAAGGGTCCCCGGTTGTAAAAGGGTGTTGTTAGGCGTAGAAAGCTATGGATAGCTGATGGTCATATGCTACTTCTGGTAACAGAGGCAGTATACTTATGTGCACCAGTTGACGGGGAACATGGGTGGGTGGGTATTGTTGTTCTGCCTGTGAGTTTCCCATAGTCAACTGTTTGGACACCATGTCAACAGAACTCTAGCCTAGATGGACCTCTGGCCTCATCCAGCATGGCCCTTATTTTGTTTGTGCACAAAATTTTTATACCTCCCCACATCTGAACAGATTCCAGAACTGTGAACAATAAAAGACGAAAGGACGGAAAGACCAAAGCACCATATTAAAAGTGTTCTCCAAAACAGGATACCAATAATATCGTTGTGTTCTTAATGGGTATGAATGAGAGTAATGAAAAGGGTAACCTTTTGTTTTTTGATGTGTTAGTTTCAAAACATACAACAAATGGAACAAATGGGGGGTTTTACTTCCAATTTGCATTTCTTCTGAAGTGAACGCAGACACACCTGCATTCTGAGGAAGAACATAAAAAGGGCCATGCTGGATCAGGCCAGTAGCTATTTAGCCCAGTATTCTATTCACACAGTGGTCAAACAGATGCTTGTGTGTACGTGTGCTCTGAAATCACAGACTGATGTATGAATGGGCGGAAGGCACCCAGGTTGACAACTTGGAGCCCACATACACCAGTTTGCCCCTCGATGCCTCTCTTGGTGCTTGGCAAAGCGTCCTAGCTCTTTCATTTTTACCAACACATTTCCTTACCGGCATTTGAGATCGCTTCCAAGCAAAATGAGGGCCTCCAACAGTTACCTTCCTCAACTTCCATAAGTGTCACTGAGCTGCATGACTCCTGCCAAGGGCATATCTTGGTTTTTCCTAGAGTCTGCCTGCCCACCTGGGGAGTCCGGCCTTGAGATAAGCATCTCATTTCTCATCTCAGCATCTGGAGATGGCCACATCCTTGCCCCCCCCCTCCTCCTCAAGACCAGCCAACAGCCCTTGAGCATGCACCCAAAGCAGCCATCTTGCTCGCTCCCAACAGACAGGGCCTATTGGACTACAGCTAGATTTCTCTGAGAATAATATTCAAAAAATCCAAGTTGGCAGCCTCCTGCCTGATAGAAATCTCTAAGCTGGATCTGAGTCCTTGATGCCATTTGACACACAACTCTTCTGAGTGTGACCATTCACACAGGAGCACCACAGGAACCTTTTAATTCAAAAACACCATTCAAGCAATGTGGCCCAATTATCAGTGGAAAAAAAAGGGAAACGGTCCTTTGTGATATGAAACAGCACTTATTCAGGTCAAAAGTAATGAACCGTCTACACAGAGCAGACATCAGAGGCAAGATGACCTCTGGGCCCTTTGTCACCATTAATTTCTACCTCACAGAGGTGTCATGAGCCTTAATTAATTGGCATTTGAGATCCAGAGATGAAAGAAACCGGCTGAGAACAAGGTACTAATTAGAATAATTGTTGTTATTGTTATTAAGCTTTGATATACATTACAAAAAGATGAAAGGAAAACTGTCTGCTCTGAAAAGAAGTCTCTGAAATGAAATATAAACTCTCCAAAAATAGAAAAGCTAAGGAGGGATTTAACACCCCCCTTGCCTTACATATATCCCCGGGACCATTCTTCGCATGCAATGGAATTCTGCAGAGCACCCCTACAGATACCGGCTGGGATGGGTGATACCTTGTTTTAACAACAGCACCAGGTTGAACCTCCTTGGAATGACCCACTCATAGGAAGAAATGTACAGCCCAGCCTGCTTCAAAATCTACCCGCTTTCCACTTGCAAGGCTCTTTCTCCATCAGGGGAAGAGTTCTAAATTGTAATTCCACTTTCCTTTCAGTGCCACACTCACCTTGTCAAGTTCCTTCACTCCCATGTCATTGTGGCCAATTCATTTCTTGGGATCTGAATTATTAGAGGGGGACCATCCCCTGCCATTTGCTTCCCCCTCCCTCCTGTCCTCTCTTTCCCACAAGGATTTCTACCAGCCCCACACTTGCCTGTAGGTGCTCAACCTTCTCTAACGACAAGCCAGGGAAAGAGAAGCAGGAATAGGGAGGAGAAAAGAACAATGATCAGCTGGTCTCGTGCATGTGTAAATAAGTCCTACTGGTAACCATGGCAACACTACCAAATTGCTGTCCTGCACTGCAGCATTGCTTCATATAATTTTTGTTGATATACACAATTTCTCATCAATGGAATCACCCTAGAGGAATAAATTTACTGAAATGCAAAGACATGCATGCAAAAGAACTGATGGTTTCAACTCTATATGTTGCTTTGACACTAGGACAAGGGCTACCCCACTCGGACAAGTGACCAGGCAAATGGACATCTTCACAGGAGTTTGTAGGACACCTCATATTCCCTGGTCATACTGGTCTATTCTTCTCTCTGCTCCATTCTTTCCTCTATTCGTTCTTTGTTCCATCTATCAGTCCTGGTGCCCGCCCCTTCCTTCCAAGCATGTCTAACCTGCTTCGTCTACAATGACTACGATGGTTTACAACCACCTCCTCCTCTCCAGTAAAAGTCAATGCCAAATCAGCAGGTGTGGCTAGGTGTATGTTGACAGAGCCACGGTTCTAGCAGCCACCCATCCGCTCACACACAGAAAATCCTCCAAAGGAATCATCATCCCTTGGCATCTGCCCATCAAGACCAAACCATTCATCGGTCTGCCTGAGTTAAGACTGACCATCCCATGCAACAGAATGCATATTTAGAGTGAGCAAGCACGCTCTGCTTTAAGGACATAGCTAGTAGCTATATATGATTCATTTGATTTTGTAGTCTAGAGTAAGTGCAGGGCTCTCCATCTTGATCAGTATCTGAACATGATGGATGGGGGCCTTTCAACCTTCTCCCTCCACTGTGATTCCAACTGGGCATATACAAATAGTATATACAATATACAAACAGTGGTCCATTTCCTCTTAGGGGTAATTTAGAACAATATAAATTGCAGACATTGGAATCATCGTGTGACTGAAAGAGCAGAAACACCATTCTCCCTTATACTAGGGCCACAATCTGAATTTACACACCCTTGGGGTGGGGGATGATGATGACGATGACAATTTAAACACAAGCTTTGGGTTTCAATGAAATGGATTGGGGCAGCGGAAATTAAGCCCAGCTGCCTGAGAGATGAACAGCCTTTCTGAACCTTCTTGCAAAGGTCACAAGAAGGTTCTAAAACCATAAAAATGGGGAGGTGGTATCGGGAATCGGTTCTATGTTCTTCTATGAAATCCTAGTCACAGTTTCAGGGGAAAGTTATCAGGGCTGGCCCAATGTAATTTGTGGCCTGAGATGAAGAACAAGATATCACATCCCAGTCAAATTCCATGTACAGAAAGTGATTGGGGTGGATATCTGAACTGTACTTCAGTATCAGTGAAGGAACATCATTTGCAACACGAGAGGGCAGCATGGCGTCTTTTTGCCCTCTGGCATTTGCTACCTGAGACGAGCTGTTCACTCTGCCTAATGGCAGGACTGGCCCTGCAGGTTACCTTCCCAGATGTTTTGGAAGCTGCTGTCACTGGAACGATGCTGTGGGGAAACGAATGACTCTCCTTCTACAGAGATCTCAAGTAACAGTATTCACTGAACCTTTGCTTTTGTATTATTCATGCATCTGATGCTTTGGGGTGGTATTTCAGGAATCATAGGTATTCCCAAGCTTGTTTCCTTCCACCCCTCTTCCCTGAGTCTGCACAGGAGGACACCACACCCTCTGAGAAGGTTGGGTTAACTCATAGTCCTGCACTCAGCAGTGGGTTGGACCTGGTGGCCCTCTGCCCCCTTCCAGCTCTACTAGTCTCTGATTCTCCGGCACCTGGTAGATTCCACCAGCTCATCCCTTTGGGAATGATCCTCAACCAAACAGTTTCATTAATCTAGCAGTGTGTAGCTAAGGTTCTCTTGGGAATTTTAATAGCCTACCCCTTCCTTCTCCCCTTAGGGAAAATGCTTGTTTGATGCATGAGAGGAAAGGTTGTCTCCATCTCTTTCCATCCCCATAAATTCAAGATGCAACACTCACCATCTTCATCAGTCTGAAATATCATCTCTTTGCCTTCTTTCCGGCCCTCAGGGTTGGAGAGGATAAGTTTGACGTGGACATTTTTGTATGGCAGCAGATTCTTGATGGTGTAGTGGTTTGTATTGTGCTCCACCTTCACACATTCCCGAAAGGTCTGGTTGTGGCCAGCACTCACAGCATAGCAATAGCAGAGTGTGACGGTATACGTGTGACAACGTGTCAGGTTGTAGCCCAGGGGTTCCCACTGAAGAGTCAGCTGTCTCGACTGGATCTCTGCAAAGGCAAGGCCTTTGGGTGCCCTCATGGGTTCTGCCACAGCAACAGAAAGAGAAGAGGATTAGAACAATGGCTCAAGAAGCATCCTGAGTAGAAAGATGCAGTTCAAGAATTGGGGTGGGACCACAGCTCAGCAGCAGGGATGCTGCAGGTTTCGTGATCAGAGTTTACTAGAATTCACAAAGTACTCCATATCTGGGATAAAAAGAACCTGATTTGTAAAGAAATGACCATGGGAGAAGCCAAACAAATCTTCTTCAGGTGGACTTCAACTGGGCTATATGTCCACATGGAGCCACTTGGTGGGTGATCTTTGTGAAGAAGACCACCCTAGTAAAGAAGAAGACACTCCCTCAACTAACCGGGTCCCAAGTTCTTCAGGACTTTATGCATTCATATTACCTTAGGTCTGGCCCAGTAGCGATAAAGACAGCTATGTACCATAAATAACTGTTTCCTCCTTTGGACGAAACTTCTTTTAACTACAATTTCAGTGACAGCACAATCTGAACACTGCCGGTTCACGTGTATAAGAAATGTGTGGGGCTGTTCTTAACATTCTTTAGCAGTTAGAAGCTGCTGGTCTGTGCTGTCTGGGGCAGAATGAAAACCCACCATGCCATGAAACTCTCCCAATATATCAGGCAGCAACTGCTCCCCTGTGTCTGCTGGTGCCTCCTTCTTGTTAAATATTTGGGATTGTTTTTTTATAAACATCATTGAACGAGACAGCACCAGGTGAAAAACCAGACTAAGCAAAATGCAGCAGGAGCTTTTCTCACAGGTATTTGGGCAACATAGCTGGGACCAATCAATCTGATCGTTCTGTCTCTTTTCTTTCTCATAATGATAAAAATCTATCAATTTTATGGGAGCTGTTTTTCTGCAACTGTTATTTTAAAGGTATTTTAGTTGTCCACATAGAGACCAAATTTACACTGCTGTGGCAACACATAAGTGGGGATACATTTCAATAAAATTACAATTTCTATCAAGGTTGGGGGTTTTGTTGTTAAAATGAGAGACTATGTCCCACTGGATTTTATCTGCACGTTCTAAAGCTGTTTTGCAGGAATCTGAAAATGCAAGAGAGACTCTTCAGATTTTTAGAGGTTGATTTACAGCCCTCTCCTGTTGATTCACATGCACTGTCTTCATGGTGCATATTTTACTTTTAAATATATATGTGTGCGTGTTTTTCCCCTCTGAACGGAGATAAAAACAATACAAATTTAAATTCACAATGACAGTATGCAAAACAGAAGAGCAACCTGGCCAGATCAGATCCCAAGGAAGAAATGTGCATAATTTGTTCTGGCATGGTTGCCTTTAACCCTTTGTGCCCACTGTATTCCCTTATAGTCCATAATGTCAGATAAAGCATTTCAGTCACACTGAAATTCTAGCACAATCTGCAAGATCAGAAAACAGACAGGTAACATCACAATCAATTTCTTGTCCAAAGGCAAAAACCAAATAGTCACTTATCCACAAATCAATTTATATTCTTCATCTTACTTAGTCACACAGAAAGAGCTTGAAAAGTGGCACATTTTCTATAGGAGCAAACTGACTGTCCATAGGAGCAAAAATATTCGGTAGGAGCAAACTGCACCCCAAAGGGCTATCAAGATGCTTGCATCTCTTGCCATGCTGGGACTTCCCGCTCTAGCCTCTTGCCCTAGAACAGGGCAGCTACATTTCCAGGGCTAAGGGGAGGAAGGATGGTAAGGGGAAATATTTGCAGCAGGCCTAGAAGTCTTGTGAGGGTGAGAGGCTGCTTATTCAGGGTTGCGGAAGGCAGTCCTCTAATTAAGTCAACTGGGTCACACCAAAGAGACAACATGAAAAGGAACGATCCCTTTGAAACAATACTTCAGGGAGCAGCAGAGATTATATTCTTTGCTGAGTTTTTGCCTCACACCCCTGTCACATATGAAATCCCTTAGTTGTACTGAAACCGGGTTGCTTATGGGGCAGGTTAAAACACTTCTTTCCCCAGGCAGTGTCTGGTTACTTTTGATGTTCAGGGGCTTAGGTTGATGGAGGATATTAAATGCGTGTCATTAATGTTTTGATTTGTAAGCCACAGTAAAAGGTGAGATAAAAATATACTAAATTAGGGCACATGAGAGAGCCAAGCAGACAGATGGAGGAGGAAAATCATTGCCAATCTATGGACTATTGGATAGTGTAACATATGCCTTATATCTGAAGGTAAGCCCTGTACATGAAAGTGTCCAGTTTGAAGTAAAGCTGTGAACACATGACCTCTTGAAATTTTCCACCCCGCTTGAGGGCAGATAAATTGCATGGAAAATGTCACTGAACTTCTCCAAGAGGAGTAGAAATTCTCCAACAGTTTCCTCACAAGTAAAGATCAGCTCTGGTGATAGTTTTGGCACAGCTTCCTTTATTTTCCTAAAGGTGGGTGGGTTGCACTGCAAACCCAAGAGGCCACAGCATCGACTATGCTGGCAGTCTGGTCCCATTTTGCTTGTTCCACCTGATCTGAAAAAGCCCCTTGGAAGGCATCCCCTCTTGGTGCTGTCCCTGAGCTCCAGCTGAAGTGCAAGAAGCCACGAAGGCTTCCAACAAGAGAACTATACAATAAAAGACAGGACACTCACATACACACCTTTACCACCTAAGGTTTCTTGTGTTTAGGCAAGATAAACCAAGCCCATGAGAAATTCTCGGAAGCTTTTTTCCTCCCTTGATTTTCTTATATTAAAAAGCAGCTCATTTTCCATCAGATTAAAAGAGCATAGTGATGGGGGAAAGAAGCAAGCAATGCACAGTAGTCACTTGAAGAGCTACCCAGGCCAAGCCATTTAACAACAGAGCTCACAGTAAGGAGAGTCTGATGCTGATCCAGTGTGGGAGCTGGACCAACAGCTGAGAAAGCAGGCAGACCAAGACCTGGTCCCGTTCATGCTCACTGTGGTGAGAAGCCGAGCTTCCAATTCCATTACAGAATCACTATTTCCCAATTTGCATCTGTACTGATGAATTAGTATGTATGTATGGGTTTGATGGAAATCAGCCTTTTCAGGACAATGCCTTCCTTTTGGGGGGCAGGGGGAGAGGGATTGCATAACTGGCCATCATATTCTTGTCTTGCAGGGACTCAGACCCAGAGGGCCCATTTATTCAGGAAAGTGGGTACCAACATCACCTAAAGACCACGGCTTACAAAAGGAAGACAGAGGACCCAGGCATCCCAGGGTAGGTAGCATCACAGGTTCTAGATACCTCTGAATCAGAACAGGTCTAGAAGAACACACGGGGAAGGTAGTTCCAGCTTGGGCTGGGAAAGGCTACTCTCTGAAGCTCCAGAGAGCCGCCAATACTGATCTTGATGGACCAAGAGTCTGATACAGCACGAGGCAGCTTCTAATGCTGCTGTTTTCCTCCATCCTGACCTTCCTGACCAATAGATGTCAAAGAATGACGCTGATTGTTTCAGAATTAGTAAAAGGAGCATGCGTCATGTTCTCGCTGGGATCCATAAATCCTCCCAGCAGTCCTGTGTTTTTCTCATTCCTCATCAGGCCTTTGCCTTTGATGTGGAGTCATTAGGCAAGGGCATAGAGGAAAAGTGGATCAGCTGCACTCAGGGAGAAGGAGCTCCAGGAAACAGCCACAATGGGATGGAAGGCCTCGACTCTTCAACAAGTCCAGGGCTGGGCTCCTGAAAGGGACCTGTATGGAACTGAGTCACTGAGAAGAGGCTTAATTGAGTACCATAACCGATTGTCAACAGCAATTGTCTGCTTGAGTAAGGAGTCTGGTTCCTTTACCACTATCTAACACAGAGGTTGTTTATCTTAATATTGAAGGATCAGCTCAGAGAGAGACAGAGAGAGGAGCACACAACTGCAGGGAGGTATTTCCCAAAAGGACACGATGAGATGCTTGGGAATGGTAGAGGACCATGGACTTATAGGACCATGTGAAGCAATTCATAAACCTCTGACAATTCACCACAATCATGTTTTTAGATAGACACTGGAAAGGAGGAATCTCCTAATAGCTGGAATTGCTGGCAGGCTCCAAAGACATGGCATGCAGGGCACTGGTTAAAGATGTCGAACCCTTATCACCAGCCAAGCGCTACCAGGAGATTCCACCCCCTCGCTCACAGGAAGAACAAAATGGCAAGCAACAATACAAACCCACTCCAGCCACAATCTAGTACATGAACAGCTGGAAGGAGCAAGAATACAGCTTCAACTGACAATTTCCTTGTGACAGCAAGGGTGAGGAAAGAGATGCTGTGAACTAGAGTCACATCAAAGTGTCCAACCCCAGCTTACCACCCTTTCAAATGTCGCATTTTGTCTACTCGGCAGAGTCGATGACAGATAGAAAGACCTCCCCTCATTTATTATTGCTAGTGATCCCATTCAGCATTGGAACTGAGCACCTCTTATTTGTGCATGTCTCTGTGTAACATAGAAACAGAATGAGTCAGAAGGGGACCCCTGGCTCCAGCCGGCTCCGCTCACGACATGCCCACCATGTGCATGTCCAGCCTATCTTTGAACACCCTCACCGATGGGGCCTCAACCACCTCCCATGGAACCCCATTCCACACCCTCAGGGTCCTGACTGTCAGGAAGTGCTTCCTGGCATCCAAATGGAACCTTGGCTCCCTGAGCTTTGCTACGTGTAAAGCCAGATCAGAGTGAAGGCAGGAGGGGATGACTTCACTCTGATCTGGCTTTGCACAGCATTGCAAAAGTGGCACAGAGGAGCACTGTGAGGATCCTGTAGGCAGGGAGCAGCAGTGGAAAAGATGTGGGAGCCGGTTTTTCCCAAAGGACCCAAAGGGAAAGAGAGCTTCTAAAAGAACGTTGACCAAGTTCTGTTCCAGACCTGAGGGCTGCTGGGAAACTGTGTGCCCTTCCTTTCCGGGGAGAGCACTGCCAAAGGGGAGACTAGCCTGGTGCCACTTAGACATGAGCACCCACGAACAAAATGCGTTGTCGAGCTGCTCTCCCTCCTCCCTCTTTCTTTGTGCATCTTGT